TATTTTTCTCACACATCTCAACTTGTCCATGACTTGACAAGTCATGGAAAAACTAGTTTTCCAAGAGAATACTGAAGCTTTCTAGTTCTCTGACCTGCAAACATAGAGGAGTTTTAGGGCTGAGGAAGAGTGTAATAGAGGCAAGAGAATCTCAGAGTGTGATTATAGGGGTCTTGAAACACGTGTCTGATTATGAACAAGATTCCCACAAGGTCCCCATTATTCTCATGATAAAACAATTTTCTCTTGATATAAAAATTAGATTGATATGAGATCCATAACTTTCTTTCACTTCTCACTGTTGAAACATGAATAGTAATTTCAGCACCATCTGAAGAATTAGTCTTAGGCAAAGTAATAAATATTATCAAGTATCTGCTACGTTCCAGTGACCTGTATTTTGCACTCATATGTAAAATCTTCAATCTTTAAGATCTTAAATTTCATATTTCAAGTACACTGCTTGATTTGGGGCATAGGATTTTGGGACCTGAAGTTGGTATATAGGGAGACAAAGTACATCCTTGAGCAAGGGAATTAACTCAGCAAGACCATCAGTATGAGAAAGGACTAGAGAAAGGTAGATCAGTTTGAAGAAAATTACCTTAACATAGGCTGAAAGAAACCCTAGCCCCTATGGCTACTACAAGGAGAGAAGGGAATGGAAGGAACTAGAGAAATGTTTCCTTTTTAGGAATAAAATAAGGTGGTTGAAGGCTTGAAGTTAAGCTTTTTAATGACGCAAACACAGTAACAGCAAAAAATTTACCATGCAACTCAGGATCCTTTTCAGACTGGAAGGAGGCACTGCTGATTATTTGACCAGAACAAGGGGGACAAAGTGCAAACCAGACCAATTTTGGTAAGTGGGAACTTAGGACCGTCTTGTCTGAAAAGAGTTTAACTTCATGCTCAGGTTCCTATGATAACTTGACCTCTTGGACTTGAATTCTAGATTTCTAAAACTTCAGTGAATTAAGAGTGAGCCAACATCAGAGGATAAAATAAGCTGCTCTTTGGGACAGGGAGAAATTGCAGAGAGAGAAAAGGTGGAGAGTAAGAACACTGCTCCTGAGACTGAACCTATCTGCCAAAGTCACTGTATTCCTCGCAGCATACTCTTTTCTTGATTCTTTTAATTATGCCAATTTAAGGCCTCTGTGCTTCCAGGATTTCAAGGACCAAACTGCTTTAAAAAAAAAAAAAAAGCTTTCCTTCTTTCATGTCTCATTCCTTAATCTCTACATCCTGTTTCCATGAACGACGTGTGAACTTAAATACCGGGGGTGGGGGAGACAGGACAGCACATCATGGAAATGGACTAGTCAATGCATCAGCCACTAGTCAACAGTCCCGGCTGCAACTATTTCCTTGAAGAAGAAAATAGAAGGGACAGTTGTGCCCAGGCAGGAAAGGAGTCTTCAACAAATGCAGAGCTGGGTAAGCGTCATTACTGAGGCCTAAGTGGGTAGTTTCAGTTCCATGAGCAGAGCTGGTGGCAGAAGTTAGATCTGTCCACTCCCAGGGGATAGGCAGCAGCTGGTGGATGCCCAGGAGAATGAGACCCTGGAAGGAACTTCTGCCCTCTGGGTTCACTGAGATTTCAGATCCACCTTCAGAGTCTTTCCATCCCATACAACACATACATTTTGTGCACTAATGTTATATGGGAGGCTGCTTTTCCTTAGGAAATGGCAATCTAGCAGGGAGTGTGTACTTTGCTGGTCCATGTACACCATGCACAGAGTTGGTGTTCAAATAATACCAGCTAAGGGAATGAAGATATAGTTCCATTGACACTCTCTGTGACAACTGAATTCCTTCATCTTCCATTTTCTATTCTTATTGCTTGTTATCACTAGTGACTCATTACCACCATAAAAACAGAAACCAAGATAAAAATACCAGTCTTACCTAACCTGCTTCTTTATTATCCCAAAACTCAAGTTTTTCAAACATGATTAAATCTAGTTTATCTGCAAAATGCAGATACCTAAATTGCATAAGGTTTAGAACAATTACTATAAAAATATTTCTGTTAAGTTTAAGTACTAGCAACTTTACCACCCTGTTAAATACTCACTAAATTCCAACTATGCCATACCCATGTTACTACATTTAATCTTTACAACTTGGTGAGGAAATTTCTAGTATCTCCACTGATTCAGAAAAGTAAATTAACACTTAGAGATGTTAAGAAACTTGTCCAAGATAATAGACCTATTAAGTGTGGGAAAGTAGAAATTGAAATCAAGACAACTGAACTTTAAGACATTGCAAACATTATGCTATATTGACTGGCATGAAGTTACTCAATAGTTATTGGAAAACCATAGCCACTTAAATTCTACAACATTGCCAGAATGCATTGTTCCACTCTTAGTTCTACTGTCATTAAAAAAGTTAATCCTAATTTGATGTAAGGATCTTCTGTATTATTTTTATGCACTCAACAATGTAATAAATAGCTAGGTCTGCTTCCAGCTATATGAGAAGATGAGGGTACAGGAGAGAACCCAGATTGATGTGCCTGTGTGGGAATCTCAGTCCTGAGTGTGGAATGTTAATATTATTTGAAGTCAAGTTTTTCTCCATACTATGCTGCATGCTTTTTAAATGTATTTTTAAATCTCCTTTGTAAACATGTAATTTAATATAGCTATTCAGAAAGGCATCTGTTTTTATCATCAGATTTTCCTTGTAGTCTACAGTTTTCTCAGAGATACTTAGATTTGCCATTTACTAGCATCTATTATATAATTGGAAGTATACAACTGTAACCAGCTTTTATAGAAAGAGCGCTGAGCTCATTAGCTGCTCTCAGGAGGCATGCTGGTCTGCCCGGCGTGTTCTAGTTTTTATTCATGAGCAGAGTCCTATAAATGATAATCACATATTCAAGTCAACCAAGAAATACAAAAATATTTCTACAAAAATGTAAGAGATAGGACTGTTCCATAATCATCAACAAAAGGAAAATAAATTACTTGAGGGATAAAAATGAGGTGGTTTAGAATTGAAATTTTGGATGGGCAACAAAATCATGCTAAATACTCTTCTATTCTGCAGTACCATAAGTTCTTGTTCAATGAGAAACTGGACTTACAGAAAGTAGTTCCTGAGTAAGTAAAGCAAAAAGATTCCCAAACCTAGGCAGCATTTCTGCCTTTGGTGATGAGGCAATGACATATCTAAAAATAAGTTTAACCCTTCACCCCTTTCAATAGTGAGAGTGCTTAGAAACATTTCTAGGCATCTACTGTGATGGACAAGTAAGGCTTCTTCAGTTTCTCACTCATTGTTGCATCTTTGTCTTCCAACGTTCAGACATCTGGTAATTTATACACTTATGACTAACTCAGGTAGCAGCCAAAAATAAAAGGATGACAATTATTTCTTTTATTGTAGAACAGAAAACATAGTGTAACTTTCTCCAGAAAGTTTCCAGTTGCTGAAAATTCTATAAGAAAAATGTACAAGAAAAGGGAGCCACTGCTGGACTCATTTCCTGTTAAGTGGTACTTAGAAAAATGAGCACACCTGTTCAGCTGAAGCAGGCATGCAAACTTGCCATCTATGAGCTCCACATATTGAAATAATTACGCAAATGGATAAGCCCCAATGTCACACAAAGCATCGGATATAGGGTTATCACATGTACTGTCATCAGCTAAGAGGATCAGAATAACCTGTTCTAGAAACTTAGCCTGACTTCGGAGTTATTAAATCTCCGAAGTGACAGGATGTAAAAGCCTGGACTGTGAATGTTTAAGAGATGAAAAACAAAAGCAACCTTCAGATGTTCACGCCTTTGTTTCTCCCAGGAAAACAGAGGTGGAAAAGTTTGGAATTATATTACCATCTATATAGCCCCTGCCTCAACTGATGTCTCCATCCCCATCCTGCAATCCCCTAAAATTGAGGATATACTTTTAAAAGTTTCTCTGTAAGTAGAGAATTCAGGGGAACTCTACAGGCACAGCCCAGAATCTACAGGAGAGAAAGGGAAACATGATTCTTTTTCCTAGAGTCAAACTTATAAACTTTTCTCTACACTATTCCTAGAAAGAATAGTTTTGTTTTAAGACTCAGCACCACCTGGTTATAATCTAGATATGTTTGCAAGTTTTCCTTAACTGGTAATTATTGCATGACAGCAGTCTCCTAAGACATGTTTTTTTTACCCCCTTCTGTAAAAAGAAATTGAACTAGATGAGCTAAGTTCCCTTCACTTCTAAAATGCAGGAATGCTATAATTTCCAGAGTCAAAGAACAAGCCCTTGTAAATTTGTGCAAAGCACATGCTGTGTATTCTACAGCAAGGCTTCAGGGTAAGATGTGCATAGTCACACACAGCGTTACATGCAACCCTGTGCTTCTTATGAACGCAAACACAAAGCATGCTGACCTACTGATTGTTTAACTCCTGTTTCTTCAGAAAAATACCAAGAATTTTACAGTGGACAACTTTTATTCTGTTTATTTTTGTTGTTATTGACTCCTATGCTTTGCTCAGATTCAAAAATCTAATAACCACTCTTCTGGCTACCAGGCACCAAAAAAAAAAAAAAAAAAAAAAAAGCAGGTCTTAATCACTGGTGAATTTCAACCCACTGCTCCCACATACAGTTCTAAGGAAAAGCCTTATTTTTCAGGTTATAATTCAACAGGCAGAAGGCATTAACAACATCTCTCACATCCAGCGTTGACCTAGGCAAACATTGCAAATTCTGGCTGTGGCTACTTCAGAAACAGAATCCCACTCAACATTGATCCACAGCTGAGGCTGGCACACTAAACAAAGTATGAAAAGCTCAATTTGCGCCCATTGCATTCTCAGTGAGCTAAACTTAAGTAGGAAGCTCTGTGCACACCATCATTTTGTGTGACCAGGGAAGTGTACAGATTCATACACATACCAGAAAAAGCAGAGCACATTCAGGAGCAAACCACTCCCTCGTTGAAAGAGACATGTAGGACTTGAAAGTTGCTTCACTTACCCAGCATAGCGGTTGCTATAAAGGTGGCTGTGCCCTGGTTGCAGAATCTTCAAAAGAAACAAGCAAAGAGGCAGAAAAGCAGCTGTCTGACTCCTGGACTTCCCGAGGAACTTCATAGTATTACAGTGAGAGGCACTGAAAGTTACAGCAGTCACCCCAGACTGGAGGTGGCTTCCAATCTCCCTCCACACGCTCTGTGTCCTGGGAGGGGTGGGGAAGAAGGGGCGGGAGTGAGCAAAATGTGACACTTAGTTCCAGCTACAGGGAAAAAAAAAAGTTTAAGCAGCCGAGGGAAAAAAAGTTGCTAAGACTTAGTCTTGGGACAAGAAACAGCAGCCCAGCCCAGCAGCTGAGGCTGATACTTAATCAGGCTCCCTGAGAAGGGGCTGGGCCTGCCCAGTGCTTGCTGACTCACAGCAGGGTTCGCTGGGTGCTGCTTCCTCTGGGCACCTTCTTCCCTGGCTGTCTCCTTCCAAGTTTTAGGCCCTTAACCTCCTTTGGATAACCTTTCTTGCCTTCTGTAAGCAGAGGGTCCTAGGATCAATGCTCATGATTTGTTTGAGCATGAGTTAAAACACAGGCATAGAACATACCAGGCTTAATGTTTTGCTCTACCATGACATATTTCTAGGCGGATTCTACATCCTGAAATGCACTATGAATAGTATTGAAGATATGTGCAGGGGAGAGCTGGCACCTGGATCTGAACAGCAGCCTCAGGGCCCTCTCCTACCTGTACCGGGCAAGGCCCCATCCCTGGGCCTCCGGGAGATCTTGTCGCTCGTTCCACATCAGTAGTACCCGGAACTGTCGCTGTTTCAGAGCAAACAGAGGCACTCTGAAGTGTTTCACTGCCTCAGCTACACTTGTGGAATCAGTGGGGAAGCCAGACCTTTTAAATCAGAATTCCTGAGGGTGGGATTAGAATTTTGCAAAGCTTCTCAGGTGATTCCAATATTCAGCAACCACGCTGGTCTAGTGCAGGGCCTCTGGAACATTACCAAGAATATAAATCACCTGGGGAGCTAGCACAACTGCAGCTTCTGATGCAGTAAGTAGTGTCCAGTACTGAGATTTTGCATCTCTAAATTCGAGGTGACCAGGTGTTGTTGGTTTTAGCCACACTTTGAATAGCCACTTTCTGGGTTTTTGTTTTTTAACAACAGTTGGAGAAAATCCTTTTCTTCTCATTTTCTCTGTGTTGATGATGAAGGTTTCTTGTATTCACTTGAACTACCCAAATAGAAAAGAGGGGGCTGTCCTCTGTTTTGTAAATAGGGATAGTGTTTCCTAGGGTACTCCCTATCACATCTCCAGCCCTGAAATCCTGGTCATATTCTGTAAGAAGGGGGAATAAATATCTTGCCATCACACTCATTCATAAACTTTACAAATCCCCTAAAAAGTTGTGTTTGAGAATTCTTGAACTCCAACTTAATAGCCAGAGTGCTTGATGGGGAGATAATATACCTCATAGTAGCTGACATGATTTTCATTAGAAATGATTTTCTTCAACAATCTTAAAATGAGTTTTATTAATTTTTCTTCAACTAATATCTGGTATGTCTGCTTCTCTAGGGTATAGTACATCAAATGTATTTGTCCAATTTATTTACAAGTTTGTGTTCTCCTTGAATAGAGAACTATATCCATTTCATCTTTAGAAATATTTCTTATATCTCTTACAGGAAACAAAATGTTCACTGAAGGAATGATCAACAATGTTTGTTGAGTGACTGATGAACCTAGGAAGTCATTCAACAAACATTTATTCTGTGGCTCCTCTAGTCAGACCATGGAGAGGTCACCTGAGCTTCCCTGAAAGCTTCATGGATGCCTTAGAGGAACAGAAGTTTCCTGGTTTCCAGTTTCTGTTTCTTTGACTATAGTGCTACTTTCTTTCTTCTTAATTTCAGGCCTAATGCTTTGGTCTTTGTAAACTTGCGAGGCTACGTAGCAAAGCACACCCTAATGCTTCCTGAAGACTTTCCGATGAGTACAAGAAAGCCTATATAACAAGCAATGAACTGTTGAAATCAGAGGTTACTGTGTAAATAAAACACTTCATCTTTTTGCATTTAATTATGTCAGAACAATGTATAAATCTGTCATATTATATCACAACATTAAACGAGGAATGTTCTGCCTCTGACTAGGGATTAAACTCATCCTCAAATCATCCTGAAGGAATGGACTCAGTATGTTCGGCAAAGCCCCTCTATATATTTGAGCCAAGGTAGCAATTTCCTCTACCATTAAAAATGCAAGAGACCCTGGAGACAGCCTACCACCTTACAAAAAATTTCAGATCAAAGAGAGGTTCTCAAACAATAGAAGCCATCCCTAGCAACCTTCCCATGCTTTTCTAACTAGCAGGTTATCTGATCAAACTTCTGTTGAGATAGATAACCTCCCATAAAATGAGTGATAAATGGAGTCCATTTAGGAGTGAGAAGAACGGAGAACAGTTTTATAGATGGATTCAAGATAAAAGTTCCATTTTTAAGGCACCATGAGGGAGTGAATTATTAAACCGTTTAGAGATTTGGAGATGGAAAGATGAGACATTCTATTTATTGGCTTTGCCTTTGTCACATTTAAGTGGAAGAGTGAACTTTGTTAAAAGAAATATTACCCTGCAGAGAAAAAAAAGGAACAGGAAAATATTGTCCTTGATTTGATTTGTTCAGTATTGCTGATGACTAGATAATTTTTAATGTCTTCTACAGATCTGAAATTCGACGATGTGGAGGGGGAAGATTTTGCAAATTCTTTTCTTATGTATGTGAATAAAACCACTGCAGGTTTATTTTGGTAAGGCTCCCTGAAGATAAACAGATGTGTTTTGACTTTGTAGTGTAGGCAACACTCCCATTGCAGGTGGTTTTGTGCTCACATCTCAATGTCTTATTAACATAGCCATTATTATCTGTCAGGTCTCCTTTATGACTTTCTGCCATTGCTTCCAACAGTGTATATGTAGGTGCCTGCTTCATATAGTCTTGGCAATTCTGTAAAGCATGTTCTGAAGCTTCTTTTAACAAAAGATTTCCTCCCCACCCTCTTCTTTAATACCATCAACTATATCTTTAATCTTTGTCCTTCTGTCTTTAATCTTCTCTTGTCAAGTATGGATATCTCTCCCATTCTGAATAAGCCACCTCTTTTCCCACTCAGACTTTTCAAAAGTATACTCTTGAACACTGATGAAACTTTCTCTGAAAAAGCAATAGTGTCTCTAAATGGAAAATCTTTGTTCTGATCCCACTATACATTTGCACTATTTCTAAGGCCATTTACCACCCAGTTTGAAACTCTCTTCTCCTTTTCAATTTGGGATATTATTCTCTCCAGTTCCTCGCTCTTGTTCCTTCTCTATTTCTTGCCTGCTTAAACAAACAAACAAAAAAAGTACTATGATCTTTGGCCTTGAATTCTTCCTGATATAACTATCAACAGAAATGAGCTGAAGAGTTTTCATGGATGAGAGGGACTTGAGTGGGATCTGGAAGCAATGGAAGGATTTGACTGAGTAGAGATGGGAAGGCTGGACAGAGATGGCCGTATTGTCAAGGAAACATCGGAAACAAAGAAAGAGGACGTGGTCTCTGACTATGACATTTAGTGCTTATGGAGGAGTTAGGCAGACAAGTCAACACAATTATACTTGGTGACCTAATTAATTATATGCAAACAAATCATAGATGCTGTAATAACAAGGGGAAGTGGATGACACTTGTGGTGTCCAGAAGAAATGGACATTTAAAGTAAATGCATGGGGTCTTCCCTGGTGGCTCAGCACTGTCACCACCATTGCCTGAGTTCAATCCCCAGCCAGGAAGCTGACCCACATAAGGTGCAACAGACCTCGCCTGTCTTGCCTGCTGCTCCCCTCAGTAGTATATTTCAATCAATCTACCTGTTCTGCTCCCCACAGTCTCTGGTGAATCTTCTCACATCCCACATGTCTAACCTACATTCTAGTTCTTGTATGCATAAATAAATAAAAGTATATCTTGAAGACAAAATAAAGTAAATGTGCAAGGGAGTTCTGTGCCAGCTGTGCCAAGGACAGAGTGGTGGTGGTGTGGAAGGGGAGTGCAAAGAAGTCCTATTCAATGAGTTCTCCTTCATTAAGACAAAACATGATAAAGAGTGATAATTAGACTCTTCAATTTGGCATTCCAAGACCTCTGAAATGTTTTTATTTGTATTTCTTCCCCACTCCCTGAATGGTGAATATTTTATATGTTTCCCCCTTTAGTTAGTATGTTAGTTTCCAGTGTTTCCTTGATGATAATGATTATCTCTAATCTGCCTTCCCATCTGCTATATCACCTGTTTAGTTCCTCCCATGAAACTGTCTCAGTTCAATTCTGTCCACAGTGCTCCCCTTCTGGAACTCATTCGTGTACTCCTTGTGTTTTAGTGTGCACTGGCCTAACTCAATATTACCAATTACTGTCAACTTCTTAAAGGCAGGCACTGGATTATGTAATCTTTGTATTCTACAGTTCCTGGAGGATTGCTGGGTTCACTGTTCTCCTCCACAAACAAGTTGTTGGTTTGCCTTTCAGTCCAGGGCATGTAGGACCTTTCAAGGATGACTGCACAAGGTTTCAAGGTTGGCTCTCTCAGCAGTCTTGCTCATCAGATGGACGAGCAATTTGAATGCAAGTCTTTTTTTTTTTTAATATTTATTTATTTATACAGAACTGGGGCCAGAGATGCGGAGGGTGAGAGAATTCACCAGGGACAGAGTGGGGAGCAGAACAGGCAGATCGTCGAAGTACACTGCTGAGGGGAGCAGCGGGCGGGTCAGGAGAGGTCTGCCGCGCCATGTGGTCACCTCCGGGGCAGGCGGGGATTGAACTCATGAGGAAGTGGCTTAAGCTTCTTAGTGCAGTGCTTTAACCTGCTGCGCCACCAGGGAGAGCCCTGAAAGCAAGTCTTATTGATCAATAAGCCTATTGTTACATTTTAAGGCCCTTGTAATTATAAGGATGATTTATAAAATTTGTAGAGCATAACCAAAGTATTTTGAAGTAGGAAGATAGGAATAAGGAATTCTACCCACTGATTCAAATCAGCAGTTGAGATTTCCCTATTTTCTCCCGTTCTCTGTATTCTTCTTTCTCTCTTCTCCCCTTCTTATTCTCCCTTCCCCTTCCTTTTTGTTGATACCTTTCACCCAGAGTCTTAGGAAGAAATAAATTAGGGAATACATGGCATGCAAAAGTAGGCACTTATGATTTAAAATGGCACAGAAGGGAAAATTTGTGTTATACTATTTGTGACATTGTGTTCCATGGAAATTAAGGGAACTTTGAACTATTTGAGTATGAGGCAGACATCAGGAG